TTCACTCTTAGCAAAAGACAAAACTTGATATAGCTTTAAAGAAACCATTTTCCACCACAAGTGGGGAAAAACCAACGAGCATCCTTGAATCAATAAGATATGGAAACTTATGGACTACCTTCTGGGTTTGAATATTGTAGACGCAAATACCGTTATCAATGTCATCCTTGCCTAGATTAGTCCCTTCGTATCTACGAAAGTGATGATTACTAAAATATATGCAATTTTTCATAACTCCATCTTTGGCTGCAACCGTTATTCCTTGATCCAATAGCAATGCTTCGTCCCCTATAGACTCGATTTTGATCCATTTTGATGATGTGGGATCCAACTTGAAGACGTTGAAGGAGTGTCTCCCCATATTTGAAATGATCAACACTAGTTCTCCAGACAAAGTCAAAACAAGATTGACGGAACGATTGTACCACGGAGATTGGGAACTTACACAAAATTCAGTTGGAGGATCACCATAGGAGAAATCAAAAACTTTGACGCCTCGACCATCACTAAGCACGTAAAGCTTCCTTTCTTTAAGGACCATATCGTAAAAGCCTTCATTCTTCAAAGGTTTAAGCACTTTCCAACTATTGTTGGCATCTCCTTTCTTGTGATATGCAACTAAACAATCAAAGTTCCAAACAACGAAGTAATCTCTGCTTTTTTCATCTACCCACAAAACAGCTTTGCCTATTTTGCTTCTCTCGTAAGAAAATCTTCCTGAATGACCGATCTGCCATCCATCGACGGATTCCAGAGACGGAAGAGGAATCCTCTCTCGAGTCAACAGATTTAAAACATAAAAAACTGATCTACCATCTAACATGAGGAACTAGTTTCCGGAATTGGCCAAACAACGACTCGTAGCGAAATCAAATCCAAGTTCTCTTACGGTGTATGATTTATGGTCACTAGGATCATACAACTTACATGAACCGATGTTGTTGTCGCTTTCAAGATCTTCCTTCGGGAAGAGGATGAGCCATGGCATGATTTCGAAGTGGAATACCATTCTGAAGAAACGCATCTAGCACTATGAAAATCGACAAAGCTCAAACGCTCCAAGATCGATCTAATAAGGTCTACGGCAAGCACCGGCTGCTTTGATTTGGTCTTTTTGTTCGAATCGCTCATTTTTTTACTGCGCTTCATTGCGATTTTCAGTTTTAGGGTTTATGTAAACTTTTAGGGTTCATATAATATATAGGTTTCATTTTTAGGGTTATTGTGATCAAACACATAAAAACAGGGTTTCTTGGTTTTACCGATTATTTAACCGGATAATATAGCTCTAAATTTTGTTTAATACTAGTATAATTGATATTTAACCGGATTGTCTTTTTGAAGGAAGAATCACATTATGGGCCGCTAAATACCCCACCGATTGAATCTTTCTTATGCTTTATATTCTTACCTAAAAAGGATCTTCCGAATAACATTTTTTCTTGCCGGATTGTATTCATTCCCCTACGTAAAGATAAACATAATTCTGATTTCGTCGAAACTAACCAAAATTATAAATCTATTATATAATTATGGAGTTCTCTCTCCATCTAGAGTGTCCACATAGACAAAAATATTTTTTGAAAAAGATTAAGTTTTAAAATAGTCATTTACTACACACTATTCATATGTATTGTTTTT